TAAAAAAAGAAAAAAGTAAAAGCCCATCAAGCATGTCACCTCCCTTTTTGCTTACAGTTTAGGGAAACACCTGATCGTAAGGTTCCTCATTTAGGCCTATAAAAGTACAGACAGTGTTTAATGATGCTTAGACTCAAATGCCAAATAAAGAAAGGATTTGTTATAGGTTCAGATTTTGAGTAGAATATGTAGAATATCTGATGTGATGATGAGACTGCTGTCATTACAAATTCCTGATCATGTCCCATACGAGAAGTAGCCTGCAAACTCTGAATCAATCAATGAACTGCAATGCCCAAAACATTTTCAGTTACAACAAGGCTTTTGCTACAATTTCTATTCCTCAAAAGGCAAATAACTGGGATATATCAAACAGACTAAAGCCCAGAGCCCAGGGGATAGAGAAAAAGGCAATGGTCCAGAACAGCGGCTGTAGTCTGTAGGATGGTAGCGTATTGAACTCTCCTGCCTGACTAGCCTATCAAAGAGGTGGCAATGCTTATACACGAGGTAAAAGCCGGGTCACCGCTACCTGTCCTGGCAAGTGGCAGTGGTTAGCAGCTGACAGCAGAATGGAAATGCCTTACCTGTGTTTTGACAATGCCTTGCCGAAACCCACTGCATCGGTTCCGCTCGCTGTCCCATATCCCCGGGACACTGGCCGAGGGCTGCGGGATGAATGCTCAAAAGCTTCGCGGGTAGAATTATAATATCCGCGCCGTCGTCATTACAACAGGCGGATAAATGGCCCCGCAGACATCAAACCACGGCCGTTCCCTCGGTTATGTGCCGACAGTCAGGCAGGCACGACACACCTCTCCAAATCATCGTCAATTTTAGGTCGTTTCTTGTCCGTGGGGGGATTGGCAGTTTGGTTTTCCGTACAATTGCAACACGTCGTCGGCTGTGGCACCTCACTCACTGCCTATGGATCATTTCCCCCCGTCTCAAACGCCAGGAACACGGCGTGATCCTAAATATCCACAGATAATAGTCCTTCTAGTTAAATAAACACTATCGTCTTTCTGCTTCTCAAATTCAGTGAGCCATTCACATTAGAGACCATAGGCACGGATAGCAGCTAAACGGCAACAGAAATTCCCGAGAAAGTGGCCCATCCCCTCAGACATTTTCCCCACCGAAACATACGTACGCGCGTATTTGCTATTCCCTTCCGTATTCGGCTGCGCAAAATATCCCTTGCTTCGCCGGGTTTACGCCATAGACCGCTTACGACGTTCACCTGATTCGTTTTTTATAAAAGCCACACACTCTGCGGTTCCCGTGGAGAAAGAGCGCCACTGGTGGTTTGTAAAAATCAAGGAACAGGCCAAGTGATCCAGGGAGCTCCGGCTGGCACAGTGCTTCATAGCCTGTACAGAATGCTCTACAATATTATTGATAAATAGAATCTAAATGTATTTGTGGTTTAGTATTGTGGCTAATATTTTATTCATAAAAAATTATAATAGTCTATATTATATATATTAATCAATATTGTTGCTTTGACATAAATTTACGCTATTTAGGCTACACCTAAAAAACAAATAGACCTTCACAAACATATTAACGAAATTATTAAATTGCAGGGAACTATGCTTTTGAGCACTTCCTAGCAGGGAAACTAATGCAATAGCATAGGTGAGTAAGACAATTAGTTCTGGGAGATAGATAATAACGCAGCCTAATCAATAAAAAGATAAGCTATATGTGGATAATACATCTATATTAGGCCTACTAAATTAGGCCCATTATGCTTTATGTTCTTTAAAAGGCACAGCTACTTGCATGGGCCTAATAATATTGTTATTGGTCATCTGATATTATGTTATATTGTTACTTTTTATGCGATTGGAAATTATGCATATATTTCTCATATCATATAGGGTATTTATTTTACAGTCTTTCTTTCTCCTTCTTTGCTTTGGGGTAAAATAATAAACACAATAATACATATTGCCAATATTCTCCATCATAAACTGTAACCACCCCGATCCAAACCCACACTTGGTACGTCCCACTTTCTCCTCCTCTCATTCTCCTCCCTTCTGCTCCCAGTGTCCTCCATCTCTAACGCCTTCTGTCATTTTCTTGTATTGAGGACGTTCTCATTTCCTGCGACTGCAGTTATTGCCTTTACATCTGTTGTCCTGCTTGAGTCCTTACAGCTTCTGAGGAGGTATGTAAAGCCTTTATTTCATCAGTAACATCACTATAAAATTTAGCATGTTCTTTCTGATAAATTCACTCATTTATTTCAGACAGTTTGCCATTCTGCACTAATCTCAGTTAGTCATCAGCACATGCTCCTAATTCATGTCAAAGACTTGAATTTTACCCCATTTTCAGGCAGTCATGCTGCAGTTCTTTCCTCCATCTTGTTCTCTGTTTATCCATATGACTCATACCATTTTGTTTTTGAGCCAGAAGATCAAGAGACATTTTTGCAATTGCTCATCAAGGGAAATATTTCTCTAGTAAAATTTTGTAAAATTTTAGTTTTGGCAACTGCATAAACTATTAAACCTATGTGCTCCATATAAACTGCAATTCAGAGAAAAAATGCCCATGTTCTTATATAATAGTGTAATATCCTGTGAAGAAGCCACAGCTGCTTCACAGTTAAATTTTTTCTATTCCTTTGAGGACTGGACAGTCCCTATCTGTGTTATCTTTGTTCCAAGGTCACACAGTTTAGGCCCAACCACTTGCTGACAGTGAATACATGCACCTTTGATGCTGTCTCACCAGAGCTCATACAGTGCACGTGCCTCATTTAGATAATCTGCTTGTATGTGTGCTGTTTCCTTTTAGTGAAGCAGCACAGAGCTGACCTTACCGAGTCCTTCTGACTGGCCACACCTCTGTCTCTGAGACCATGGAAGCCAAGGCCAAGTCTGGAGCTCCCGCGTCCAAAGCAGCATCTAAGGTTGAGAAGAAGGAGGCCCCCAAGAAGGCCCCTGAACCTGCCCCGGCCACCCCAGAGCCAGAGGTCGCCCCTCCTCAGGACGGAGCAGCAGAGGGGGAGGCTGCAGGAGAGGCCTCTGGCACAGACTCTTTTGAACAGCTCAAACCATATCTCATTGGTGGTGCCATCATCACTGCAGGAGCCATCTTACTGGGAGTATTACTAATGGCAAGGAGGAAGTAAAAACAAATTATTACAATACCTATAAAGATACAATATTTGCAGATGTGTTTATAGTATCACGTTGTGATCAGTTCACAGACTATTGTACAAATGAAGACTTGCTGTACATGTCCTGTAATCTCTCACACATTGAGCAAAGCTGCATAAACACTAAAATTGTTTGCATGAATCTACTCAATATTAATACTCTTTCACCAGAAAAAAATAAATAATGTGAGGTGCAGTTGACTGCACACACAACAGACTTGGTTCACTTTACTAATCTACTTTAAATCTAATATTGTAGGACAATGTTCTCATATAAATCTCCATTAAGCAGACTGAAGCAAGCTTAAATTTATCTAAATCAATAAACCTTGGCATGCAGTCTTAAAAATTTAACTAAACTACACATATTTGAAAATTAACAGGAATTAAACAGGTCAAAACACTTTACTCTAAAATACATGTCAAAGATCAAAAGCATCCAGGCTTTATACAACATCTTCACTTAGCTCAGTGTGTTTACAACCTACGTTGATACTTACCAGTGGCAAGTCAGTCAGCCATTAGTGCCATCACTGTGTTTTTTTTCATGGATGGGTAGTATTCAGACAATATTTATTGCTAAAATAAATTTAACATTTAACTTTTGTAATGTATTTGCTACTTGAGAAGAAGAAGAATTATAATTCTTTTTGTTTTGTATGGGAACCTTGCTAAACACATACTCATACCCCATCTAGCTATAGCATCAACAGATAATGTAAAGTTTGACAACTTCTGTTACATTCCATATTTATTTACGTCTCTGGAAGAAAGAAAGTGTATTTAAAATTATAATAGTATGACGGTATTTTGTTATAACACCCCTAGATATTTAAAAGACATAATGTCATTTCTAAAATAACATCTTGCATTGTATACTACAGTGTACCAAAAATACTTATTTTCCTAATTTCAACAGCGTATGAATGCAATAATTCAGATAGGATTTCTCATTTTAGCACAAGAACTGTAGCAAGTCAAAGACCTTAAAGATGCTGTCATAGCTTGTGAGATTGTAGCAGTAAGATGTGACTGAAAAGTGGGTTATAATGATGTATATGATGATTATGGCAAACTGTTTCAGTTATTTTCTATATTAGTGTTATTTTAGTCATTAACAATAGCCTCCTCTTTGCCCCATGAGTGTATAATACAACTATAATTCAAAGTTTATTAAAGGCGGTGAACCAACTAAAAATGGTGTTGTAGATTTTTCAATATTGAGTTTGAATATATCGGCAGAAAGCCCCTTAAGATGAAGCATCTAATTTTATTATATTTATTTTATTTAACCAGGTATAATGTTTGAATATTGTACATGTATATCCCAATTTAAAAGAATACGTTGGAATGCAACTTGGGGCCCCCAAAGTTTTACAGTAGGTCCCCAAGGGCTACTTTACTGAGGACTTAAATCATAATGAATGAATAGCATGTTGCTTCTGTTTTAGTAAATATATTGATTTAGTAAATTTAGTATACCATCTTTAGAAACCAGAAAAATTGAAGATTGATTGGCTTGTCTGGTTTCTCACAGAGAGAAAAAGGCATATGGAAAAGGGTTATGAACCACTGATCCATAGCACGCTACTATAATTTCTCTATTTTACTTCAGCTGTTTTGCTGCTGAAAATGCTTACTGCAAGACACATCTTGCAAGAATACCCATATTAAACAATGAAACTAATACAATTTGCTTGTTATGGTCAAGTTTTGTACCATTCCAAAACGCTATGGTCACATTAGGGCACACAAGGCCATGTTTCCTCCTTCTCCTTCCAGGTCGGTAGAGGGCGATAGTGAACATACACGATACACTGTTTATGCACATTTTAACATCACCGGAAGTCTCTGTTGTTGACGCTAGTGATCGAATAGCGTGCGTTTGATCCAAGAGTTGAAAGGGCTTAATTTGGACAAAAACTCTTATTCTCAATTAACCACAAGAACACTATCGAAGCCTTCGACACTGGGTTTGGTGGTAAGTACAGACTCACTATTTCCAATAAGCAACCATGACATTGTTAGTGACTAAAGCTAACCCTGTCACGCATCCAAATTATGTTGTATGCCCAGAATGTTTGGTATTATTGTTAACTGAGAACTGTGCTCGTGCTGGGTCCGAAACATAGTCACTGGCCCGAAATAATAATCTAAAATCGAGTTACTAATATCATAGAAGCGGTTTTATTTGTTTGTAGGAACTGCGATCATGATTATCCCAATCCGCTGCTTCACCTGTGGTAAGGTCGTCGGTAACAAGTGGGAGCCATATCTCGGTCTTCTCCAAGCCGAATATACTGAGGGGTAAGTTGAACACCCTTGACTGTTTTTGAATACAAAGCCTCTAGTTTGAGTTATTTGGCCTAAGGCTCTAAATGATCGAATAAGGTTGCTTTAAAACATTATTGTAATTGTATAATTGTAGTTTATATAGGATTGTTACCCTTTTTAAGATGCAGTAAAGTGCTGTATCACTATTATATTGTCATTTTTAGTGACGCTCTTGATGCCCTGGGCTTGAAGAGATATTGCTGTCGAAGGATGCTTCTTTCTCACGTGGATCTTATAGAAAAGTTGCTGAATTATGCTCCACTAGAAAAATAATGGAAGACCCCCCCTGCCTCTTGAAGATCAACCTGTGACATTAATTACATGGACAGTTTACATTTTTACAATAGATATTTAAGCAAGAGTATGACCAGCTTTTGTTGAATAAATAACCCTCCCACAATCACTGATGTCTTTGGTTTCTTGTTTGTTTTCCCAAGATGAAAGGTGTGCATGTGTCCACTACTATATTTTAATATGTAAATGTAAAGTATAAATATAAAGTTTCTATTGCCAACAAAACATTTGATCATAACCTTCAAACTTAAATGTCAATTTATGATAAATTTAATTAAAAAAAAACAGCACATTACATTATTACAATAAATGTGTGTAGAACATGCAAGTAGTGAAACCTGATGTCTTGGCATCAAGTCTACAACTGTAATAGATAAAACGGACTGTGAGGGCAGATGATAAAGGTATATCTCATTTGTAGGTTTTCAATCAGCCTCACCTTTATGTACATTCAAATGTTAATTGAAGAAATAAAATCCTGTCTTTGCATCGACAATATAAACTCAGTCTAAGGAGGAAAAAACAAAAGCAATATGCTAGTGAAGAAGGAAATGACAACGATTTCCATTCACAATTTGGCTTACCCTCACGGCAGTTTTAGTAATATCTGTCTCTGTCTCTATCCCTGTATCTGTCACGTTCTCGAGAGCGTTCTTTAGAGTGACTGCTTCTTTCACTGCTCCGGGATCGATCTCTGTCCCCCCGAGATGAACGTCGTCTTTCTTTGCTTGACGATTTCCGTCTATCCCGCTCTTTCTCTTCACTGTGCCTATAGAAATAAAATCTTAAGCTTTAAAATATGCAATTACTGATAATAATCAAACATAATAATCATAATAATGCAAGAAACCCATGCATTTCAAGACGTGTTTGTAAAAAGTTTCATTTTTCATATTTGAATTGTGGCATGCAGCAGAGGGCCGGTCCAACACGATCATTAGTGTAACAAGTCCAGGGGACTACAGAAGAAAAATAGGCTAATTCTGGTGTTTTACTCCTGTTTAATCAAGTATTTTATTAAATTGCACTGATTCCTTTCAAATAATTACAGTAATTAATCTAGACTAGAGTAATTACTGTTATCTATCACTATGTTAAACTTGTGCCCCATCACAACAGGCCTGGGCCGGATCTTGCCCAAGTTTGTTCTGTTCTAGAATGACAGCCTTGGCAAGTAGATTTTTGCAATAACTGAAATTGCGATCAACTGCGCAGCCCTATTCCCTAGTATGCTGCTGTTAGTACATACCTGCTGAAGCCGTAACTTCCTTGAATGGACACTAAACAGTCTTTCAGAGAGGTGACCATAGCTTGACAGCGATCATCTTGATACACTCTGGACTGTTTGATGATTGAAATTGCTGTTAAAAGTGTTTCCATAGCCACCCTCAAGTCTCCTGAAATGTACAGCAGTAAACCTTTTAAGTGCAAAGAAATCTTTGATATTTAGATTGGACATAGTGTGCAATGATTTTACATAACTTCTTCATTATGCTTATCTTCACTTACCCGTTGTTGCTCCTGACACAGCCTTGCTGATGGCAGTACTAGCAACTGCTCGATTCCTATTTATTAGTTCCTCAAAACCTTTATCTGTTCTAAAAATGTACAAAAAAGGTTGAGTTAAATTGTTGTGATGTTTTAGTCTGCATATTTTGATTTTAAATAACACTTCAGTAACAGTTGCTTACTTTTCGTCCCTGTTCAGTGTGCTGCTGCTATGCCCCTCCTGCGATGTGCCAGCAGTTTCGACATTTGCATTTTGATCTTGAGGGGGGTTGGCAGGAGGATTCATAAAGTTCAGGAACATGAAGGGTGGGGGTGGCATATATGGTAAAGGAGGAGGTGGGTAGCTTAGAAATGGGTTGGGTGCAGAATCAGCTGTGTTGGCAAATGGGTGAAAAAACTGTTGAGGCACAGTAGAATCAAACGGGTTCTGTGGTAAAAATGAAGAGCCCGAATCATTCATGTTATAGGAACGTGCGCGTGGTGGGAAACCTGGAACACCTGAAGAAAGCACATTGCATTGACAAAATAAAATGATAATGATAATGAAATGTTTTAAATTATTGTACCTTTACTTTGTTTGGCCATGTCTTCAAACAATGAAAGATTGAAGTTATTAGCATAACGACAAATAATCTTTTCTCCACCAAGAGAGCATTTTGGTACTTTATCCAGAAGTAATTTCATTGAATCCTCAGAGCTCACCATTACTTTAACATACCTGAAATGAAAGTTAAATAGTGAAAAGATAAATTAGTTAGTTTAGTTAATAATTACTATTAGCTCAATCAAAGGCACCCACCCTTTGGAGAGTCCATTCACTTTGTTTTCTGCAAATTTAACTTCAGTTACATCCCGCACACCAAGATTATTGACTAACCGCAATACGTCTTCTTCTGTTACCCACTGAAAGTATTTTAATTAAAGCAAAAATCTATCAATTTCATACACACTTTGCACATGCATATGAAAGGCAATCCAAATTGATATACGTTTGCAGGAAAATTGATACATTGATACACAAGCATGCATGTCAAAATGTGTGTCTCACCCAAGGGAATTTTCCCAGATACAACCCTAGTTTTTTGGACGGTGGCGTTAATTTTGATGTCTCTGGTGGGTTGAACTTTGCATTATTATCTGTTTTAACTTCAGTCTTGCTCTGTGTTGATGGCAATGTTTTATCCTTGTCCACCGACCCAGTCAGCACAGCGTCAAAAAGATCGTCCTGCACACGATAAAATATCTCAATACTTTTAAAACCAAAACAACACGTAGTAGCTAGATAAACCGGATTCACTCATTGTATGCATTTGCGACACTAACCTCATCATTTAAATCCAGCTCTTTGGCTGCAGGTTGTGCAGCAGTCATCCCGTATGAGTGTTTTGCTGCAGTTAATCAATGTATTTTAAGGGTTTTAGGTATGAAAAGGTGATGCACACTTATACTAACATTTACAACACATTACATTTTCGGCTAACCCGCTAGCTTAACACTACGGTAATCACTAGTCTCACAAAATTAGCTAACTGGAAGCAGGCAGTTGTCGCCTTTTTATTGTAATAAAAGCTTAAATACATGAAACCAATACGATTTAAATGACTGACCCAAAATTATTTGGGGACCATGTATACTTGCTTTACATGAAAAATGCTAAAGATGTTATTTTCCCGTTTTGTGTGTCGACTATTTCTAACCGGTCCGAAACTAGAACAACATTAGTTCCTTTTTTTTTTTTTTTTTTTTTTTTTTTTGATGAGATGTGTTATGGCTGAAAATTATACTTAATTATACTATCAGCACATAAATATTATTTTTAGTTGTGAATAAAACAGTTTGTAAATGTCTGTTTTATTGTCGCTTTTACTTGTGTTCTAGTGCCATTTAGTGTCTATGGTTCCGTCTATGGTTCCGCCCCTCTTTCGTGGAGCTGACGCAAAAAATCTTGAGTTATTCAACCGAACAACCTGACATTTAGACGTGAGGGACATTAGTGCGCAGTAAAAAGGATTAAAATGCTGTCTTCTATTGCTGCAAAAAGAGTAAGCCATTCTTTGTTCTCTATCATATGTATTTGGTTGTCGCTGTCGGGCACAATGCAACCTTTAGCACCATGTGGCTAAGCTATATTTTAGCTAAAGTTAATGAAATATGATTAATAACGTGATTGAGGTTTCGTCTTTGTTCAGTTCTAATCCCAATTTTGTTAAACTGAGATGAAATCTATCTCTATCTCTACTATTTCCTCCTGATTGTTTTCTAGAATCTAGAGGGCACTTAAACTGACAGCAAGTACTGTTGTACAACACGGTGGGATGTGATGTAACTACTCCTGATGTACTCTGAGACACTGAATGATTTGCTTCATTCTAGGAGTGTAAATGATGATTTCATATAGTATTAACCATATATATTTTATTTATTATTTTCGTTTTGTTGTTAAGATTGTTCCTGGGCTTCTGCATGGAGTATGGAGACCAGCAGTGACAATCTCATTCCGTGGGTACCGTGGTTCTGCACCAGATGACACTAAAGGGGACTTGATTGAGATCCCATTACCACCGTGGGAGGCCAAACACAATGAACCCCTAGATATTAAGAGGCGACGGCTGCTCTACGAGAGTCGCAAGAGAGGAATGCTTGAGAATTGTATTTTGCTTAGGTATGCAGCTTGTCAACATGATGTTCAGTTAGATCGTAAAGTCACATTTTCCTTTCCCAGACTTTTGTATACACATTGAGTGCATAATTAGTTTGACTCAACTTTAGAACAATATAATGTTTTCCACTAATGTTATTCTGTATTCTTGTAGCCTTTTTGCAAAGAGATACCTCAACACAATGAATGAGACACAGCTGCAACAGTACGACAGAATTATAAATGAACCAAGCAATGACTGGGACATCTACTACTGGGCCACAGGTATGTTTTTTTTTCTTATTAATTGGTAATTATATATAGATACATATTTAAGTTTTGTAATTGTGTTCAGAAGAGCCTACTTCTGTATTTATTATTTTGTAGAAGCGGTACCAACCCCAGAAGTATACCAAGGTGAGGTTATGGATTTGCTGAAGGAGTTCACCAAAAACCGTGATCATGAACAGAGGCTGGATGCGCCCAATTTGGAGTATCTGGAAAAGGAAATCCAGTAAATTTTATAGACCTTAAGGACTGAACAATGACCAATACATTGTCAGGACATTGTCTCCTACACTGCATTCAGTATACATACATTGTAAAAAAGTTATTAAAAATATAAAGTTTTTTCCTGTTCAATGAAAATGTTTTTTCCCTGTATTATTTAATAAATGTACATAGATGGTCTCAGTATCTTTTGTCAAGGTTTGCATCATATTCCCATTATTTCATTTCAGAGTGTTTTATTACCAGTATTTTGTGTGCCATGTTAATAGACGGGCAGCAGGGGGAGCCAGATCACTTTTTATCAGTTAATGAGTAATTTCACCAGAATCTCTGATTTATTTTAAGTGAATTCTCCTTAGTGTTCCAAAATCTAGAGGTGTGAGTAATAGTAAAAACAATAAAATAGTAAATGTGGAAAACAAAATGTACCCATATGGGAGTATTTAATTAGCATTAAAATATAGTATTGTCTGAAATTCTTCACTTTTCCTCATTAACTTGCATCATTGGCTGTGCATCATGTTAGTTGATTGGATTATTGCCCTGAGATAAAGAGGGAATGCCCCATGTCCATTGTCCAAGAAATGTGCTCAGAATCCTAATACAAAGTCTACTGGTGCATTGTTGCTGAATGAATGAGATGACTTGCAGCCAATCTACAAATTATGATGGAAATGCAAGCCTGTTGTGTAGCTATGCTATGTAGAGAGCATCACTGAGACAGGTTACGTAATGTCACGGAATTTGAATTTTTAATAGCATCAGAAATAGTGGTCACTGATATTGCTCCTGTTTTTGTAAGAATAATGCAGCCAGACTCCTTATTTACAGATAACCTACTGACTTTGCGTGGATGAAACCACCACCTGTGGATTTTACATGGCTGTCTTTATTGCTCTGTAATTTATTTCCCATGCTTTTCCCATTTGCCCACACACTTGCTGCACTGCTAGTCACTCCTGTCATCCCCCACTGCTGCCTGCCTTCATGTCTTGCCAACTCTGTTTCATCCCCAGCCTCTCTGCCACTCGCCTGCATGTTCTTTTCTCTATTGTCTATATACAGCCAAAGCTAACAGCACAACATCCAGAAAAATGACAAATAAGCTTATGTGGAAGAAAGGAATGTTTCAAATTAGTCAACCCCATCCGCTCCCCTCATGAGTCTTCTTGACCTAGTATAAATGGATTTTGCACAAGTTAACTTACACAATTAATACTGATGTGCAAGTAAAACTGTATTAATTGTGTGAGTCTAGCACCTTTTCCTGTAGATGTAGATTAAGTACATTAAAGAGCCCATATTACACTATTTTCTGACATGTTATTATGTTTTCTTATCAGAAACATACTTGGAGCTGTGTTTTGTTTTATTCACAAGTTTAACACACAAACCCTGCATACTTAGGCTGAGTTCTTTCAAATAGAAAACACACTGTTCCACTTTGTGATGTCACGTGATAAGGCAGGAAGTGATCCAATCTGTTTTTAAACTCCATACACCTTCACTAGAAACAGTTGCGTGATTTCAGACCTGGAATTGCCCATTTCTACTGGGAAAGAAGGTAAAAATGTAGCTATTAAGTTGAAAGCTACCACTACATGACATCATAAGTTGAAACAGAGCATTATGAGCTTTGAAGATGTGGACTACTAATAATAAAGGGTAACTCAAACATGGGTGAATGAAACAAAACACAACTTTGAGTATGTTTTTGATGAAGTAAGAACACAATAACATGGCTTAAGGCTTACTAGAGTGAGTTTTGCATAATATAAGACCTTCAACCACGACTTGCTTGTCTCTATAGGAATGCCATTTCCTTAGTCTGAATCTTTCAAAGAATGGCATAGACCTGATTTTGAATTTATTAAATTGCAGGTATTTCTACTGCTAAAAGTGCACATCATGAAATCATGGTTCTTTGAGTGGGTGGTAAACACCCAATCAGTAGTTACTAGTTACGTAGGGCACATTTAAAGGCTGCCAATAGGCATGAGATGTCACTTGTATCGTGGAACATTAGGTTTATACTTACCCTAAACTTACCTGTTCTCAAAGATGATTGAATTAAAGAATACAAAATGTACCAGAAATATCTTGTTTTATATACACATTTATATTTTTATATACACTGTACAGGTTTCAAAAAAATAAATGGTTGATATTAACATTGTGCACTTCACAAATGTGTAACTATAAAGGGAACAGAGAGTGGAAAAGGGGGGCTGAATGATATCAAAGACACAGATATCAACAAGCCCAGTCAATACTCACTTTTTTCATACACTTCACATACATTTGTACATTATATCAAATACATGTTGCTGGTAAACCTCTCTTTGTCTCAAGTACTGCCCCCAAGAAGAATGCCCGAGATTCAAAAATACCACGAAAGATTTACCACATTGTAGTATTTGGCTAGTGATTATTATAGTGACAATTGTAGATTAATTTATTTAAATCCAATGCCACCAAACCCTGAATGAAAATGACTTCTTAGGTCTTTGGAATGTATTACATTTTAATGCACAAAGTACAATGACCCTGAAGGCCAGGTCTCAAATTACAATTTTCTTGCAGTCTCCACTGTTAACATGTACCCGAGAAGAGACATAATCTACATATAAGACAGGCTATGGTTATGAATCACAAATGCAAAATGTGATCACAATATTATATAAGCTGCCAAGATGCACCAGACGAAAATGTATGGACCAAAATGAATGAAGTTAACACTATGAACAAAATCACCATAAAGCAAACGAGAAGATTAAAGTTTCATCTTAGAAAAATACCCTGGTTTAGTTCTGTACCAAATGTTACTCCACTAATGAAGAAGGCTTAAAACAGTGGTCACTGGTATCTCTTGTTTATCTTGTAATGCTTTGCTAAATTACATAGTGTTTACAGTGTTTACTTTTGTTCTGACTTAATATATGTTTGTTTGTTTTGTGATTTGTGGTTGTGCGTGACCTTCAGGGCCGTTGTTACAAAGCCATCAGGACAGACAGACGACTGTGTTCCCGGTTTATTTTGGGAAGCTCTGACCTGAGATGTAGCTGAGTGATGCAATGAGGTGACGATTATATCTCACCCACCTTTCCCACTGTCCCGCCCACACACAGAGGCGAGGGGCAAGGCGTGGCTCCTATAAGGCACACACTGGACATTTTGTGCCAGAAAGCATGTGTGCACGGCGGGGTGGTCAGCTGTAGTCTTATTATGTTAAATTTTTGGCACCAGCCCATGTAATTGGTCCAGAGAGAAAAATAAAGGACAGAATATTAGTAGCTGCTTTAGAAATTTGTGATACGAAAAACAACATCAGCATGATACTGTTAACCATTGCTATTTGTAGATGTATTTGAATATAAAACACACTTAAAGAAATAAACCCTGCTATGAAGAGAGGTTTGGTCCAGCATCAATATCAACAAGTCAAGTGACTCTTCAGATGTGACAATTAAAAAAAACAAAACAAAACAACAGCATACTTCTCTGTACATTTTAGGTTCATAAAGTTCATACAAAATAAAACTGGTAAACAAAGGTCAGTATTAAACTGGAAGTCAGTGCAGATACACACAGAAGAACCTAAAGAACAGTTAACACAATCACACTCAAACACTGACACTCACGCACACACACAGTACATATACATCAACAGTGGAATGTAAAAGCATTTCCCCCAGGTATTATTACTTCAGTTAGAAGGATTCACTCAGTACATTTCTACAGGACTTAAGGGAGGTCACACTGAACGTGGTCATGACAAGAATATTGCCTTTTGATTTGTTTTTTATGTGCAATGTAAAGCTAAACGTGGCAAGGTAAAAGAATGAACATTTGGACATTTCTATAACAAATCTGTCAGTAAGCATAACCTGTCCCTGATGTGTATTGCACTTATAGAAAACTAAATGTTTCAGCATATGTTACATTTAAAACATAAATATCTATGGGGCACTTGGCAGTAAGTTAGCATACATCGTCTCTCTTCTGTACCTCTCACTATCCAAAACCTCTTGGCGAGCTCTTACTATAAATTGCCATAGTGAATCAGGGGTAAGAATTTTGTTCAGTTTACGTGAATGGCTTCAGCCACCTGTGACTCCAAACAGAGGAAGTGTGACAAATCCTTATAACTTCATTATAGTTCAGTATATGGATAAAATATAATGTAAGAAAATATGTACTGTATATCCATACCATATAAGAGGTGGATGAACCCCTCAATTTCTAAAATACTTTATCAATAATTAATTTTACATAAAGTTAGACATATACATTCAAGAGCCTTTTATTATTACAATGGAATTGTAGGGAGGTAGGCGAGAATAAAACTATAGTGTTATGTCTTTTTGAGTTAATCCACCTCCTTTGTGTTCTCTGACTCAGTTTGATTCACTTTTAAGAAACAAAAGTGACCTCCCTAAGCCTTCAACTATCTTCACATCTATAAAGTGATACAACAGCCTATTTTATTCTCAATACTGGGACCATTGTGTTTTAAAACCTTCTTGTGTAACTCCAAAACAGCCCCACTTGCCCTGTGTCCACTTTCTTAGTTGGAACTTTTTGCTTATTGTCTTCAACTGGAAGAACAAGAAGATTCCCTAACATCTTTTGCAAACAACAAAAAAGACAACACGAATCTCTTCCATATTTTATCTATTTTTTTACACTTCTTGTCAAGAATCCAAAAGTTTAAATCTGTTTTTTGGGATTACAGCACATCACCCACAGTACGCACGGACAACAAAGGGTTTCCAGCCAATGGAGAATTATTACAATGGCGCCACAGAACGAGATCAACAAATCAGGTCCATCTATCATCAAATCTTTTTCTTTTCCTGGTTTTTCAAGACTAGGCAGTGACAGTAAAAACGCAACAGGACATATGGTCTGACTTTGATTTATCCATTTTTTGGTTGACGATTGATATTCAATGGTGGCTATGGAGGTAATGGTCCCACTAAAGTGTGCAGTTATGAAGGGGAGAGAGAGAAGGCCATGGGGGATTTGAGTGCTCCTGTAAAAGAGGGGTGAGTGATCAAAGACATTTCTAATTTGCGATCGAGGTGTTCAGGTGGGACTTAGAGCTAGACAGGGGTGTAATGAGGGCACGAAATATCAAAGGCCTGAGAACAAAGAAATGACATCTGCAGACAGCTAAAGCAGAGGTGTGGTGAGGGTGGAGGGTACATGTCACTTTATGAGCGGAGATGACTGTAAGCTGGTGGGTCAGAGATCCCCTTCAGGCTTTGAGGGCGTGCCACTGGGCCACAGCGGTGCGAGGATGCCCCATCATGTCTTTCCAGTGTTTTACCTCCGCGGGGCCACTTTTCCATGAGAGGTAAATCTGTGGACAGAAGCAGAAAGGATAAGATGAGACACACACGTCAATTCCTCTAAACATTGACTTCAGTTGTACAGTTATAGCTCCACTTTATAAGCATTTAAGTATGTAAGTATCAACGTCCTCTGCTGTTTAATACATTTACATTTTACTGGGTGCTAAATTATATACAATCCACAGTTAAAGGAACTGTATTTATTATGCGCTCTGGGTGAGAAAAATCATAACTGTGAACCTGGGTGTCCAGTGTCTTAACCTGCATATAGAGGACACATTTTTCTTATTCTCTGTATGCATGGGCATGCCTCAGGTGAAAGTTCAGAACCTCCAGAACTCACCTACCGAGCTGCTATAATTTAGAATACATAAGACAATAAGTCACCATTACAATTGTTATCAGTAAAAGCATATGTATCTGCATTCTCATATCTGGGGGCGCAGATATGTTTATCTCACAACATTAAAATAATCGTTTTAGCTTATTATCTGAGGGCCCTTGACAGTACTTAAATCAACAGCTCGAGGATAGTCATATGATGCTTTGGTCCCGAGTGACTGCACAGGGTGCACCAATATGGGCCAAACCCAAGGATTAGTAAAACTGGGTCCCATCTACTATTCCCACCTCATATTGGAATGGTGTGAAGCTTTCTGCAAAAGAAAATACAAAGCAGAAACCTAATCTGAATTTAACTCACAAAAGAAACCATTAGTGGAGAGAATACTCACACAAATGAAGATGGAATACTATTACTGACACAAAAAGATCACACCAAGCTGATACTGAACTCTTGTTTATGTCACACAGTACAAGCTTTTTCACTTGTGAAAAGCAGCCACTTATTTTAAGCCTGACTGGTGCATGCAAGAAGATAATTTATCTGAGCTTCCTACAAGTCAATTACATGTCTGTGAATAAAAGCTGTTCTGTAGGCTCATTCATGTAGCACACACAGGGGGAGATGTGTTAATAAAAGCACATTCCAAAGGATGTGTCAGCATCCTGTTCAAGATGTGTGAATACAACTGACTGATCATTAATATTCATGCCAGCTAATGGCTTTTCAAATCATTGTATTTCTTTACTTTTCTTTTAGAAGTAATCTGAATAAAGTATAGTCCCAATTCTGCATAATACGTTACATGGATTTGTTTAGAAATAGTTAAATTAATACATTAATTTGAAGCTTTTCTCAGTTACCATAGTAACTTTATGTGATGGTCTAACAAGTGTTGGTCAGCTCTGCAGCCACCTAAGATGCCTTTAGTTATAAATGGTTTGTTTTTAAGTCTCTTACTTATTCCACAGCACATTTGAATATTCGCACACCTGATTAGTAAAATCACTTCCCTGGTTCATTCCCCATAATCACCTTTAATTTGTTTTCATTTGCGCTAATTACCTTTAATTAGTTGTAATAGGCTCCATATTTGCAATCCTTTTTTAAACCGTACCATACATATTTCACCACCTAATATGACTGTGATTTAAATCTTATTGAGTCACAGTGTTATTACTACATAACATGTTTGAGAGCCTGACCGTCTCTGTGAATCCCTCTGAGAGTTGCATAATGCAATGTCTAAATCTATTTTTATACAGCTGGGATATATTCCTGACAGACATTTGCTCCCAGCAGGGGTCAGTAGAGACTGGATGTGTGATTTGCCTCTCATGCTGTTGATGTTGTGAGAAGCCCCAGAGGAGGAGCAGAAGAAGAAGAGGAAGCAGCAGGAGAAATGTGAGGAGATACCTTTCCTATGACATCATTGCGACTGAGCTTGTCCTTGTCCATGACGGTGATGATGATGGTGGTCTCCCTCAGCACGTGGGCGGGCACATCGAAGGGGAAGGACTCGTTAAACACAGGGTTCAGACAGCGCTTCATTACCACCGTCTTCTTCTTCTCCACGCGCTTGTCCTTGTGCATCAACCACACCTTCACATAGGGATCTGAGGGCAATAGTAAAGATGGTTGAATGTTTAGTGATAGCTTACAGGGATAAGATATAAGACATTGTGACTTATTTTTGATGTGTTATGTGGTTATGGTTAGGTTAATCAATATAAAAATGATTAAACACCTAAAAATATATTAATTTACTTTTTGTGTCCTGTCTTTAAAGGTCACCACAATAAATCAATAACATAACACATCTTCATGCCAGCCCTGCCTGTTGCAAACAGCCACAATCAGTGATTAGAGTCTCTTCCAAGGAATACTGTGTTCTAACTGTGGTGCTACTAATTAAATGAATGCTTGAAATTCACTCGATTATAATTGATTGTATTAGTATTTTTACCTGAGGTGCCTCCGATGTCCATGGCTTTAAGATTTCGGGCTTTAATGATGCTCACAGTGATGGTATTGGCTGTGGGGTTGTAGCACAGAGACACCAGAAGGTCCCCGCGATTCCCCTGGAGATATCAGACCAGAGACAATCACAGCTCCATCTTATTGTCTACCCCTCTTTTGCATGCTGTGTGTTTGTCTGTCTGTTTTTCAATCCACCTGTCACCCCTCCACCCCCGACCCACCCTCCTCCTCCATTTTGCCTCACTATCTCGTCTTTCCCACCAGCACACACCACCGGTCCCCAGGGACATCCAAGACAGCCAGCGATGACATCACCCATTACTTCCTGCTCCGCTCCCTCTTCTCTCCCCCCCCACATCTCTGCCCCCTCTCACTCACACTGCCATCGCTGCATGGTTTCAGCTCCTTCCAGAAGGTCTGCATGTTGGCCAGGTCGAGCTTGTTCAGTGGAATGGACACCTCTCCAATGGGGTCATTTCTGCTGAAGCGGTCGTAATCGAGAACTTGGAGATATAGCGTTCTCTGGACCACTTTTTCATATGGAAAACCTAAAAACAGAAATTCGTTTCGCATGTGTCCTAAATTGCCTAATTGCACCATCAGTTACAAAACCTCTTTGAGCATTGCCATGCTTTCTACCATGCTAAATGAACTGAGACTGAACCCAGAACTAAACCTGGACTAGATCAGGACTAAATCAGGACTAGAATAGTGCCAAACCAAGTCTATATTAATGCTCAAGGTGGGCCCAAATGGGGTAAAGGTTTTACATACAGATATTTCAACTATATTTAAACAACTGCTCAATTACTGCAATAAAAACAGTACCCCACTAAACCCTACTCAATTAACAGAAGCTACAGCCAAGCGTGAATTGTGGTTTACACTTGCTTAAAAGATATATGGGATAAAAAAAAATCGCCATACCTTCAAAAAGGAAGGTCTCATTCCAGTGAGGGTTGAGATTCTTCCTTTTCACTTTTGTCTCCAACTTGTGCTTTTTATCCGGCAGCAAGTATAGTTTTACAAACGGATCTGAAGTGCCGGAAAAGTCCTTAGCGGGCAAATCCTGGCCCTTGAGTATTTTGACAGTCAACGTGGAGTCCTGGAAACTGTATCCAACGCTGAACTGAATCCGGCCCAGTTTCTCAACCACTGGACCTTCATGGTCGTCCTCTTCTGAACCAGGAGATAACTGAAAAACAATCAAGTCATTATGCTTGGAAATAAAAGCTTCAAATGCTTACAAAGCAAGTCATTCATCATAATGCAAAACAAAATAAAAAAGACAAACCCTTAGCCTTGTACTTTCAAGGTCTACAAAAGAGATGCCTCACAACACTTCAAACCATACAGGCTGGGCACAGAGTACACAGACTCCTTTTAAACAGTTATATGTAAAAGTAAATGTAAAATCTATTTTATTTTTATGGACTTTATACAATTGGTATTCATGTTTTACACATGTATAGTAGTACATAAATTACTTCTAATCAATAATGATGAATCACTGTCATGATATCATGTGGGCACTGAGCACTGTATATGTCATAGACACACAGCAGTCTATTGATTTTCATAGCCTCTTCATATCCAGGTCTTCACTTTTCTAAATATGCACTGAGCTGATACAACGCACAGGGTGCACCACTTCCATGGCGACTGAGAAAATGAAATTTACTGCTGAGACCACATATGGATTAAAACTTCAGATAAAGCAACAAAAAAAGAGTCAATTAATTAAGTTTCCAAGGTCACGATAGTAATGTAGCCCTAGCTCTACAGATGTACAGACAATACCTTTTTATTCAATTGGAACAAAACGTACAAGAGCTATACACTCCACGGACTACTTTCAAGGACTTCCATATAAACTTCACATATAATATTTCATATTTGTAATAACCAATTTGCATAAACTGGCATTTATATTATACAACATGGTCCCAGATTTCCCGTAAAGCTGAGCAAACCGCTGACTAACATACTCGTTTTTTACCAGTGTGGCTCTTTATCTGAGTTCTATAAGTGATATAGTATGAATCAGATAGTGCTGCTCTTGAGAGACTGTAGAGTGCATAGCATATTCACAGACAGATGAAACACTTGCAGGGTATCTGAGTGGTGGCATTACAGTAAAAATCCAATCCGCCGTAACACAGAAAATAAGGCAGCTCTGAAGTTGAAGACCAGCTTAATGTTATAGGTCATGTAGGCCGCCTCTCTGGTGTGACAGGGGCGAAATGTGTACATGCAGTGTGGAGATGAGAGCCTGATTATTACAGCAGGAGCGATCTTCTGACTGATGGTGGCTTAGCCTTGTGGCAATGGAGAGAAATCTAGTTTCTGATGTGTTATCTGATGGTAAAGAGCTACTGTAGAGACATTACTCAAAGAGCAGTTCCACAAATGTAATATCCAATTTTATATTCCCACGTCCAGACCGATCCCTCTCATTCCCCGTGCTCAAAACTATCACATCTCATTATGCAGCCCAGACCAAATTGCTTTCCAGCCATATTTTGCAGTTCTCTTTTTCTTAATGTCATCACTTCTTATTCCATTACAAAATGTCCGAAATACAGGTAACCAAAGCCAGGTGAGAAGAGTTTCCATGCCTGTTTAAACAAATAAAACACATAAAACCCATGGAGAATGAGAGGTATGAAGAGACAGGCAGTACAGTGCAGGTCCTGCCTATGCGAGCATCACACAGAATGAAGGAGGTGTCAGAGTGCAAGACCAGGCAAGGCCTCCATGAACCTCCCCCACTACCTCTGCCCCCTATGGAGCCCGAAGGACAGTATACTCCACTATAGGGCATCAGTGATCTTGTCAAATCTCACAAAAATTTTTATTTCTGTTATACTGGCATTGCCATAATCGTAATAACAGTAAGCAAGAACAGCTTGTGACTTGCAAATTGAAGTGTAATATTGTTCAGTCTGTTTAAATTTGATTAGCTACCAACTGATATTCCAGTCCATTTTAGGACAACTATTATTTTCTGTCCGTAAGTACAGTCCACCTATAATTTATTATTATTACAATATTTAATTTTACATATACAAGTCTGTATATTTGTATATTTTGCTATATTTTCTACTTAAATTATTTTAAAGTTATGTTTTTGTTTCTTACTATTTTTTTTTTCTCTATGTTGTAATGACCTACTTTGTCCATTTCCTTTGTGGATCAATAAAGTTTGGCAAAATCATCAGGCTGCAATTCTGTTACAGTCTATCTATCAGTCTCTCAAGCTTTCCATTTGAATAGTGCTAAAGCATCTATTCATAACCATGATCAGACCTTTACAATACACATAATTTTACAAATAAAAGTGTTTAGAATGGTTCGTTGTTAGTTTCATATTGTTGAATAATCATATGGACTAAATCTATTAATGTAATTTCAGTAATACTATGTATAACCTACTTTTCATTTTCCAGTCTACGCTATATCCCGTCATTACTTTTATAAAAGCTCAAATGTGCAAGATAAGTATTATTAGCTTCAGAGGGAAGATTGTGTAAGATATAGCTGCCTTTTGGCAGCACTGCCCAGAACGAGTATAGTCATTAAGCCCCACCGCTGTGCCATCCTCAGACTCACCATGAGGCCTACATAATTACACAGTCCTCTTAGACATCTCTGCTCCTGTGTACGTGCACAGCACCCACAGCACGGCATGTTCTCTTACCGCTAATTACCAAAGCCTGTTGAATAAGCTCTCCCACTGTCTCCAGTACAGGGGGCTGCTGCTGGTGCCTGGGGTCTGCACCGGCCCACAGGTGTCATAAGAGCCGTGGTAAGGACACTCCTCTTGGGCAATGAAAGTGAAGTGAGTAGGAGAAGCAACTTAGAAGGGAACACTTGAGTGGTACTGTAAGGTGTAGGCATGCAGTTCTCAAGGCCCACCATATTTTTATGAAAGCAAACAGAATATTTCTGTGGCAAAAATGTGAAATCCATCAGTAGAGCTCAGGAACTTAAATGTCACACTGTGAATGTCAAGTTGGATATTCCTCTGTAGTAGACCTACAAACAATGTCACTCTTATATATACATTCTTATACAGTACTCTGTGCCAGTCCCGAGCCAGGATAAAGGATTGTGTCAAGAAATGCACTTGTTGTTAAGTATATGCTAAATAAAGACAAATGAGAACCTGAGAAAGTTTTACATATTTGTCTCACAAAAATGTGACCACTCAAAACAACCGAAGTAAGTAGAAAAGAAAGAATAATTGTTTCTTTTTTCTTTTTTTTTTTGAAGAATAAAATATCTCCTCGGACTGGGTAAAGGACACCTTAGGACTAAACAACATTTTAAACAAGCGTTACCTGTATCTGTTTAAGCAGTTTATGGAAAACAAAGTGAACGGTGAGTGTGAAAAAGTCTTTATAAATAATGGAATAAATATTAATATAAGCTCCCCTTTGAGACTTACCATGAGCATGTCGCTGGTGACTGAGTTGGCGAGATCATTGCCTGACGAGTGGCCTTCTTGACCCTGTCGACGCCCGGCCTCGTCTGGAGTCTGACCTCTGGGGCTGCTGCCGGGTTTGTTGCCTGGTCTGCTGTAAGAGAGGTAAACAGACATGGTAAACATACATGGTTTAACTCCACACAGACACAAATGAGTGACTCTGGCTCTGGCAGTTAGAAGTCTGTAAACTGGGATATGCCTATTTATATGTCTACACTTAAAACTTTTATGCAGTCAAACAATGCATAAAATGTTGTACTGTCTCAGAATTTGAATTATGTAAGATCCTCCTCTCCAACTTTATGTTTAGTAGCAGTATTTTTTAGTAGTAGTGGTAGTTTATTTGATCATTTGCAGCACAACAACAACCACTACAACTACAACTACAACTATACAACTACAACTACAACTACATGGACATAGACTACAACCCCATTTGGATCATGACGGAAAGATTTTTGGCTGAAGTACAAAGTATGCTTAAACCTTTCTCGTTACTAATGCAGAAAACAGTCCGGGCATATAGACAGATCAAATTCCTTACTGTGTTTAATAACAACAATAAAGAGTCAGTGAGGTGGATGGATATCTTTCATATAAGCTGTAAAACACAAATTGTAAAAGATTATTTTAAGAAAGATGATCCAGAAAGGAAACGCTAAAAGTTTATCTGGTGTGCAAAAATGAGTGAGAGGATTTGCCTTTGTTCGGGCTCAAAGGATTAGAATAAGGAACAACATAGATTCAATAGAGTGAGAGATAGAAGAGATAAACAAACATGTATCTAAGCGAGAGATCAAGATGAAAATACAGACAGGGTAGGGGTCGGAAACACAACAAAAGATAAAAGATAAGATTTGGGTAAACCTCGGATTTCCCAAAGCAGGCCAACTAAGCTGAGTGACACGTTGCAAGGGTACAGAAAATAGGACCAAAATTGCATATCAACGCTGGCGATAAAAAGACACACACATCAAAACACAATATTCACATGAAGGTGAAATTACAGCTTTTAATATTAACCTCCAGCCCATAAGGGAACAATGTGTTACCTCAGAGTAATTACATAACACAAGGTAGGTCACAAACAGCACCTGACAGGAGCACTGACTCAACTCCCACAAGCTCCAGTCCATCAAACTGCTGCTGCCATTTTCATTATTTATGCAAGATAAACTTTAACTCACTGTGGATAGAGTGCAATAGGGCATACGGGCTTGTTTAGATAGGAAAAGCAGTATAAAGTAAAGTACCACAATTTCTGCATGAATAGTACTGCTAAAAATAAAGCATATGTATTTTCATTTGCTAATTTCCATATAAATTGTACATAATTTCAAAGTCTATGTTAAGTCAGCCAGAGCCCACTATGTAGCTTCTAACGAGGTCAAACAGACATCACATTATTAGAACATGACTAATTACGTTATAAATGTAATGTTGACTGATTTACAAATACATTATATTTTAAAGTTTTTGCCTTTACATGTTTGTGATGTTATGTATTTTCAGTATATGACAGCTTGTGGCATGGATACATTTGTGATGGTATAGCAGTAGGAATGCATATCACAGCTATTACCATTATGTCAAACTGTTTTGTTTTGTTTTTTGTTGGAGTAATGATGGTCTCATTCTGTTTGTTAAGAGAGGCATGTAATAATAAGATATGGTCTTCTTCATGCTCTTACTTACCCATGTGTTGACTTAACTGTATTTTTGTTAAATACATTACTGATATTGCAAGGCTGAATAAAGATAAATAAAACAAATGAATGAAAAATTTAAAGACTAATTACTCACACAAGGTAAGTAGTCTTAAAGGTAAGTTATCATGAGTGACATTTCATTGGTTGAATCTGAAACAGATTTTTTTGAGTAGTAAAGATACTTTGTCCCAGTCTGGAAGCCATTATCTCACTCAAAATAGCGTTCATTTTCTTTCTTCTAACACAGTCAGCAGTACAGTTTAAATACCTGTCAAGTCGGTACTAAAGTCTAATCTGTGTTATTCGCTTCAGCATAATAATGTCATAACTGATATTCATGTGAGACCTGGACTTAGCAAATCGTAACTTAAATATGCATATTTGGATTACATCTCTTGACTACAGTAGCTGCATCTTTGTGGATGAAGTCTCACAGCTGACTATAGCAACCATAATAAAGTATATGCCTGTCAAATGGGTCTCCAGCCAAAGAGTCTATAAATGCTTACTTGTAGAAGTGGCTGGCTCTATGACAGCCCATCGAAGTCTACTAAATCAACGCCCAACACACGGGATGAACACGGCCTGGATCTTTGACAGTCTGTTTACATTTACTGCATAAGACATTTCCTTTGCTTTCACTGTACACATCTGGATAAGGCACAGTACTGTACGCTGCAGTGAATCATGTCATAAATCACCCAACAAAACTCAAGCACAGTCCCCATAATAAGGCTGTGAGGCTGAAAATGATTGAATACTTGTTTACAGTGCTAGACATATTATAATATCACTATCACTAAGTTGATTAGAGCTATTCCCGACCCAACTAGAATCTATTAGTTTTGCATTATGAGATTCAACAAAATAGCATTAGCAAATAAGTTGTAAAATGCCACAAATACAAAAACAACGCTCTACAAACTGCTGAAGATTTGTCCCTATAATAAAAGGAAACTATATAACATTTACAAGATTCAATTGTTACCACTTTGTTAAAAACTTGTGTATCTGTTTGTCAGGAAAACTGTGTAGTGTGTACCTCAGCATGATATACACTATGAGCTGAAAAGGAAATACATCTGAATTAAAAGTTAACAATCTATGTATCATTCGTTCATTTGTTTTCAAAATAAAACCAAAAATAAGAAAATGAAAAAAACCCACAAATTTCTTCATTATTTGTCTCTAAAAACAAAATAAAAAAATAGATAACGATTAGTTTTTTTTTCAGTTTTTGATTTTGTGTTGAAATGAATAATAGAAAAAAACTGATAACGTCCGTTTCCATTTCCGTGACTTAAACTGCGATGCTGGACTATTTCCAGACCAGGACTGAGACCAGGACTGAGACCGGGACCAGACCGGAACCGAACCAGGTCTGATCCCAGGACTAAAATAGGACTACACCAGGACTAAACCAGGTCCCGGTCTCAGTCCCAGCTCAGTCCTAGTTCAGTCTGTATGCGGCGCAAAAGTCCGGCACCACAGTTTCAGTCATGAAAACAGGAAACACGTTGACGTTATCTTTTTTTCCGTTATTCAGTTAAACACAAAATCAAAAACTTGAAAAAACTAATCGTTATCCATTATTTCATTTGGGTTTTGGTGACAAATAATGAAGAAAATTGTTTTTTTTTTAAATTTCTCATTTTTGGTTTTATTTTGAAAAACGAAAGAACGAATGATACACGATTGTTAACCACATTTTTCAGTGACGAGAAATTCTTGAAGTAAGGCTCATTTGGTCCATTCATCAAGGCAGTCATCTGTCAGGAGCAGTGAGAGAATGCAGTGCAATGCCTGGCAACCCACCCCGGATCTTGAACTAGGTTTTGTCAGGACAACCAAGCTGGACATTAGCTGTGCAAACTATTGTACATAATAAATACTAAGTCTAAGTGTGGATCTTAACTCATTATTCACTATTTATCTGATCTGTTCAATTAAACAAATTAACCAAGAACTTTTTTGTCTTCTTAATTCAATAAATGTTTTGGTCTGGTTGTGTACTTTAAATGCCACAATGGATATATGCATAAAATGGACGTGAAGAATGAGGAGAGACATTCAGCAAATTGTTCTGGAATCAGTCTGACCACAGGCCAGCACAGAAATGAGCTGCATCTTAGATCATTAGACTTCAAAATACATTGTTCAGGTCTTTTTCACTGGCCTTTTCCCTTCTAAAATAATATTCAGTCTCATAATCTCCCTGCAGTTTCTAGTCCATTAGTTGCCCACCTGCATGAGGGTCCACCAAAGTAATTCCACATTCCCCAGTGATTCCGAGGTCATTATTGGAGCTGTCATGGGTGCGTCATCGTCCTCTCAGATTAACTCCTGCTGACATGAGGGGCACATCTGAGCGGACCACCGCAGTCTCCCCAAATCAGCACTGTTGACAATGAGCGAGCCCGATAGGCATGGTTCTGATGAAGACTCAACCAAGCATTCAAAGGCATATAGAGAAGTATTACACCTGAATGACAAGCACACACTAGCAGACACAGGGCCACAGTCATAAAACATGACTAACTCCAACTCTGACTACCTCTTTATTGGGCTGACCTTAAAACTCTGCTTCTTTATGCAACAGCCACTGAATATTGGGCATCTGTTAGTCACCAAAAAGAACAAAGTTTAAGGGAAAGGTTTAATGATGGTGACAGAGTGGTTATTCATATTCATAATTCTGCATTTAGTTGATTGAATTTCAAATAAATCTTTAATCACGCATGGCCCCTAACTGTTGATGTAATAAAGTGCAATTTGTCTGTGTAAAATTATACAAGGCTACATGCATAATATATTTAGGCAAAAATGCGTATTAAAAGAATTGCATTAAAATATGTCACTTAATTGAAAAAAATACAGATCATCACAATTGCAATTTCTTTTACCGATATAAAAACACAAGGCATACTTGTACATCAGATAAGTCTACGTTGTCCCTCAGAGTATCCATAACATAGTGGTTACATAATTCATCCTTGAGATGGTTGTAACCATGGCAACGCTCTCAGGTTGTATTTTACACAGAACTGATGTATCCATGGTAACAGGAGCCTAAAAAATATCATGAAGCTGCAGTGAGAGAAGCACATTCAAAGTAGCAGTCAGCCCACGGGCTAAAGGAACTGAGCGTTTACAAAGGCTTTGAAATGCACCTCCGAACTACTGTACCTCCTCACGCTCCAACCTGAGTCTGCAAAAATCACCTCTGAACTTTTCCCACTCAGAGCAGGTTTATGAAGAGGTGAGAGAAAGAAAAGTACCCTGATATGATATACATATACAAGCAATGGGAACATGGGCTCAAGACAGTGGCCCTACCCTGCAATTTTTGAGAAATAAAGCCAAGACCAAGGCTTCAACT